GCCGTGCATATCTAATGATATGCGCGCGCTCTCTCTCAGTGCGATGCTACTCTTTCTCTGCTCTATCTCTCTAGCATTAATTCATATATTTGATGATAATCGTCTACGGAAAACAGGTGCACACACGATTATGCATTCGCTCCCAGAGAATTATAATAAAAGCGGAGCGTTTATCGCTGCCGAGCGAAAAGTTTCGGCAGAGGGGGCCTCCAGAGAAAAGATGAATGTTTCGAAATTGCACGGAAATCAGCAAAGCAAATGTAACCAAATTTTGTAATAATATATAAGGGAGCAGCCATTGTTGCTCTGAATTATCATCAAACTCATTTGCAATTTCATTCCAAATGCGCTCTTGCTTGTTTTTATTACTCTTGAACAAAAAACTAACGAAACCGTCGGCAAATGGAATTATGATAATAATTATACACAAGAGAGCAAATTAATATTTGGATTTTATTATTCTAATTACACCTGTCCCGGACGGTCATAATTTATGCAGTGCTAACTTATCAGCTAATTGCAAGACTGCAGGAGAAGGAGCGCATTATAATTCGTATTTTGCAATTAAGTAAGCATTTGTTTCCGGTTTCCTCCGCACCATGTTTGAGCAAGGAGACTTTAATTGAATATTTTATTTATTCACTCTTACCAGTTGGAATGCACTTGGCTCTAAACAAAGTTTTCTTTGGAAAAAGAAATTTAAAAAATTTAATTTTAAAAGAATAGAGATTTCTTTCTTGCTCACATAAACATCGCAGTTTCAGAATTGATGACTTCTTTGCTGATTAATTGATGGAAATTTAAATTCGATTTCAAAATTAATTTTACCCGTCACGCCAATTTTAAATTGATTTCAGCAAAAGTAACTTTGTTCTTATTTGCTTCATCTCTGTGTATAATTTTTGCTAATCGAGCAGCGTCCCCGGAGGTGGTGTGCAATTTTACAAGCTATTTTGTCCAACACCAGTAGCGCCTGTCTTGAGGATAGATGGCTAATCAACCCTTTCCACGTTTGGACGCAACTCACAGCACAATGTGTATAATGTTGTTACGAAATAATAATAGATACACACACACACTGGCTAATACCAGGCGGAATAATGCCGGCCGCTGATGGCCCCGAGGCTGCTCGCGCGTTTATAAAAAAGCGGCCGCTGCTCTAATATCTCCCGACATATTAGTTTCATATTCGGGCCTCCTGTAGAGCTTGGATAGATCACAATCGAAAGCAGCACACTCGAATCATACCAACGTTGTAATAATAATGATAATAAAAAAGCGTGTGCGTATGTGTAGTGCGAGCTGAGTGATTTTATCGCGAGAGGGAAGCGGCGGCGGCGCCGACATATACAAAATATATTGCATAGCAGCAGGGCACTTATTTTTACACGAAGAAAAAAAAATATTAAAAACTAACGCTGGCTGACCACCGCAAGTTCCTCCCTGATATGCAGCTAATTAGGGGACGGCTGACAAAGATCTGGGAATTTTTATTCCGAATGTTTCAGCCAAAAAATGGAATGCAACGGCTTATTTCATGAATTTTCGCAGAGGTGGTCTCTTGCATGCTGATGAAAGAATTTGGCATTTTAGTGAAACTTCCTATAAGATTCCATCTGCATCTTTAAATTCTTTTCAATTTGACTGTTCTTTCATCATTTGAAAAAGTCTTGAATAATTAACAAACGTATACAAGGGGCAGTGCCAAATATTATGGAACTTTCACATTTTAAATCAAATCAAACTTTTAAATTGATGTGTTTTTTAAAATTTATTGAAAACTTTTCATTAAAAAAACATTTAAAAAAATTACATAACGCGGAAATAAGATTTTATTGTAATTTCATTAATGTATGTTTATTAATTTAAAAATATATATAACTCGAAACAAAATCTATAAATGAAGCAAAATATAAATTAATGATAATTAACAACTTATATAAAATTAACTATAAATAGTTTAAAAAATATTGTAAATCTGAATTGGCTAAACGGTGAAAATCAAATTAAAAATTCACCAGCATGACTGAATTCTAGAGTAAAAATGTAGAATTTTAATTAGTAAATATACTTTTCTTCCACAGTAAAATGTGTGCAAGAGTTTTTCGAAAATGCTGTCAAATTTCATAGGTGGAAAATGAATTAAACTTGTAGTTTGGGGCAGATGCATTCAGATTTCAAATTGAACGCGTGGCATCGCGGAAATAAAATATTATAGAGCATTGTGGTCGTTTCGGTGTGGGGCTGTTAAGCGCAGGTGTGCTCGCGGCTGTTGACCAGTGGTCATCTGCCTCCCGCACCCATTCAAATGAAATAATACAATTTCGTAGCTCGCATCCCCTATGTGTGTTGTAATTGCTCAGAAGCGAGGTCAAGCACGCGGCCATTATTGCTGCTGCACACAAACTCTGAAATGTTTCAATTAAGCATCCGCAGCACGAGCCCGAAATTTTCCTTTACTGCCAAAAATTGCTGCTTTTATTGCAGGCGGCTGAATGCGACACACATTTATTGTCTTCACACCGCCATTGTCAAATGTGTCAGAGTTTGGCGCTGCCGCTCTTTTATATAAATTACAAGACGATTTGGGGAGCTGAACCTCCTTCGCTTAGAAAATACAAACGCTTTACTTGGCTGGAATATTATTTATTTTTCTATTTCAATTTGAACTGTTAACGTGCAGTGTATTGTACGCGTGCAGCCAGAGCTCTTAAATTGAGGCGTTAATTGAATCGGGAGCACATTTGCTCCCCGTTTTGTTAACACAGTTCAATGTTAGGGAGAGGTGAAAATTTTGCTTCGCTGCTTGCATTTTTTTCCAAGCTATAGAGTTACAAAACACAAGAGAGTCAAACCAAGCGCGTTTTAAGCTGGGGGCGTGATTTTAAAGGCAGAGATTTCAACGCGCTCATAACTCCAAATTTACATAAAGATGTAGCAAACATATAGATTCCAAAATCAAGGAAAATTTCTAAAAATCATTTTGTTTATTTGAAATAATATTATACATATGAATTTAATGTTTTTCTACTTAAGTTCATATTAGTTTAGCACATTTTAAAAAATATTGCTTTTTCTTGGAATAAAATTGATAGTTGCAAAAATTTATCAAAAAAACTGGATTGTTTTCACGGTTTTCTCAAAAAACCAATCTTGTTGTTTTTCTTCATATTTTCTAAGATTCAAAAAATTAAATCTTAAACTATACATTTAAACCAAATAAACGGTTTTATAAAACTTATTGATTTCAATTTAAAAAAGTACAGCACCTCCAACTTGATATGTTTTGGTTAGTTGTCAATTTCGTGGGTGTTTGCTGGCGTTAAATATATTTTTTGTAGTCCGTCTGTGTGCCGATTTTTGTGCGCTAATTAATTAAACAAAGGCAAGGCGCGAAAACACGAGAGCTCACACATCGCTTTACTGGGTTAATTATATCTGTGTGTGCAAGTTCGTGGCGCGCGGCGAATGCAACAAAAAATGCAGCCGAGGTCTGCATATATGTGACAAAGATCTGGAATCCTCTCTCTTTTGTTGCCCCGTCCGAACATATACACGAATTGTGTAGAAAACTCATTAAAAATACCGCCGACTTAACATTCTCTGCATATTAAAATTCAGACTTGGTTGGTTCGGCGAAGAAATAATTAATCTGGAGCTCGTTAGAGGTTTAAAATATGCAAGGAGAAAAAAAGAGAGGGAATAAAATTAAAGAAAAAGTAGCGATGATGAGATTGTGATCGAAAAAGAGTTTTGCGTGAAAAATGCAGTTTATAGAGATTTCAATTTTCCAGCTGATCTTTTCTTAAACCGTAATTTGCCACCAAACTCCAAATCCTTATTTATTCTCAGAAAAATATCCTCCCCTAAGCGGCTGCAACTGATGCAGCTTTTTCTTCTTTTTCTTCTTTAGTGGCTGCTTTTAAAAATATTCATAGCACCCTCGCATTTTGCTCCACAGGTCTGTATCTATAATAAATAGAACGCCGATGTCCTTTTTATGTAAAAAAGAACCCCTCTGCGAGGCGCGGCTTAACCATAACAAACTCTCAAAAGAAATTTGCCGTCCTTCTCGCACCGTTTTTGTGAAATCGGAGCTATGCCGTGGGCATGATTACCGCGGCGTCGCATTCAAATGGGAGAGAGAGAGAGAGAGAAGAACCGGCGATAATTCATGTCTTTTCGGACCATGTGCGGAGCAAAATGCAACAAAAGTGAGATTTTTACAACTGGCACGCTGAATGCACTTGGCTAGCGGCAGCTTGCTGTGCACCCGCCGCCGCCGCTTTGAAGATTTTCCGAGGTGAAACGCCGCTGGTCAGGGCCAAAAAGATGGTAATTCTTTGTTTGCGACCGGCAAAGTAGAGTGACCATTTTTTAGGTTCGCATCGCACAATAGCCACTGATTTTCTCTCTGATTGTCAAGTGTCATCATTTATCATTTCCAAAATTTCATAAAAATGAAAAAAAAATACAAATAGGAAAAAGGAACAAATTGAGATGAGGGTAAATTGTTAATATCTTTTTGAATATCGTACCTTTTATTCTCCTATTTTGAGGCCCATTTTATGGAAATTGAAATAAATTGATATATTTTGTTCTTTTTAATTTACTTGATTTTATTAGAAAAAAATATTAAATGGTATTATCCTGGGACGATTGCACGGTTCTTCCTTTAAAAATTATTATATGTTATAAAAATTTACTATGTTCGGTAAAAGTTGCAGAAACAGAAATTGATTTTAATTTTTTAATCAAAATTTGAACGTTTAGATGATAAAAACAAAACTAAATATTTTATTTTTAAATAAATATTTAACATTTTGTTTCTTAGAGAAGAATTTTAATGTATTGGATTCAGAAACTGAGCGAAACTGCTGGAAGACTTTATAAATATTTTTCCGGTCATTTTTATGATTTTACGTTTTTTTTCTATTTTAAAACAATTTAGCACAATTTTTGTAAGTCAAAAAACAATTTTGAAATTTGGTTGTACTCACCAATCATCTGGTCTCTGGGGGATGACGACGAGCCCGGGCCATTGTCATCGTCCGAGCTGGAGGAACTGCACGAGTGGACACCGCGTCCGGGGGTGCCGGCGGCGGCGGCCAACACGGACAACTGGTGGTGCTGGAGGTGCCGCTGCAGGTGGCGAAGGTGCGGCGGCGTGGTGTTGTTGTTGTTGTTGTGGTGGTGGTGGTGCAGGTGGTGCGGGGCGCTGGTCACACCGTCCGGCGAGCTGGTGACCTTGTAGGGTTTGACCTTCTTCTTCATGGCGCCTTGCACCGAGAAGTCCAACGGCTGTTCCTCGTGTAATAACATGTGCTGCGCCGAGAAGTGCGTCGTGGTAGCGGCCGTCGAGGTTGCCAGGGTGAGAGCGAAGAGGGTGGCCTGCGTCCAAGGGTCGAAAACTCACTCTGTGCTCCGCTCGGAGGGCATCGGCGTGCCGTTCTCTCTCTCTCTGTACCCCTCCTGTCAACACACCGAACCGACACTCACTAATTGCACTGAAATTATTTGCGACAAAAATCTCTCGTGTTCGAGTTCAGGGGGTTGTGGTTCAAGTTGTGACAAGTGCAGCAGTTCTTTCGCAAAACCGAGCGGGTTCGAGTGGTCCTGTCCAGTCGTGAGCCGTTCACGTTACCAACTAAAGCGAACGCGCTCTTTTGCCACTAACAAGTCCCCCCCAATGCAGACCCGGTCCCCTCCACCCTGCGCGCTGGTACCCGCCCCTCTCCCTCCTTTGGTACCGCTCGCTCGCTCGCAGGCTAGCGCTGGGACAAATATTCGCACCGGCCGGTGCATCGCTGACCTTCGACCCCGTCAGTCAACCCTTTCGTTCTCATCGAAAAAAATTTGAATTTTTAATGCTAATTTTCATTTGATGGTTGACGGTGGTGATGAAAGGAGGAAATGATAATGTCGGCTTGATATCTCTCTCGCGTTGTTCGATTTAATGGGTTATGCGTAATGAGGAAAACCGCGAGCTGATTTGATTATCCTTCATGATTCATTTATTCCAGCTATATGTATTGAAATAATTTGGAAATTACTAATAATTTAACACAGTGATTATCGTATCTGCTTTAAAGTTTTTTATTTATTTCCTGAATTAATCTGTTTTGCATTAATAATCTTGTCTCCCATAAGGGTGTATTTTAACTGTATCAGTGAGGAAGAGCACTGGATTAAATAGCTGAATACTTTTCAACACTTAAATCTTTATTTCTTTTCTCCAAGAGGAATAACAATTTCAACTAAAGCATTTATTGCTTTTTTTTGTGAAAATAGTTGCAAAAATTTTGCATTGGAAGAAAGACAAACAATTTTTGTGAGAGGGAGACATTGTTGAAATTCTAGTTAAATCAATAATTAAAATTATATAAATAGACTAATAATACAGCTCAAGTTTTATTTTTCTTAAAAGCAGTCGATGGAATCTATTATTTTTTAAAGTTATTAATTATAAGAAAAAAATAATGTAAAATTTGACTAAATGATACATTTCTAATCATATCAACAAATTCAATGTAACTAAATTTTACCAATTTTTTTATTATTTTTATTTCAAGAGGCTGATGGTTTTTGCCTAGCTTGCTTGACCTTGAGTTTTTTGGGAAATATTACATGAGTCAAGATTCATTTCGGTGAACCACTCTATTTGAATTGCTCCGCTCTGTATATAATTATGATGGCAGCGGTTCAAATGCACCTTTTCGCTTTTCCCGACCTCCAACTCATTCAACCATTCCATTTAATATGACTTATTTTCCTCCCGTGTTGTTTTTTGGCACCGAATTTTTTCAAAGGCCGTTTCCTCTCCGATCTCCATTAGGCTTCTTTTTAATGGATTTTGTTGTTTCCTCTTCTCCTCCCGGCCGATTCCCCGAATCGTCAGGCGTCCCGCTCTCTTTGCTAATTTGTATACCCGACCAGCAGAGCTCAAAGGGAATGACCGCGCGCAGCAGTTAAATCTCGTCGACCAGAGAGAGATGCTTTTTATATGTGTTGTGTGACAAGATCTTCTCCCAAGAGAGAAAGAAAGAATAAAAAGACCGGCCGGCGAGCGACCAAAGCCGCTCTTTTTGTATGCAAAATATTTGGAATAGCTACTAGAACATTAATTATACAAAAAATATACATAAGTGCTCACTGAGTAGGTTTTTAAATTCCGTATGTTTTAAAATGTTTCTCTTGTTTTCCGCGAATATCGTTTGCATATTTTAAAGCTATGCGTCAGCATCACAGGCGGTTGATGTTCTATTTTGACAGCAGCATTTGAATATCCGGAATTCCATGGTGATCGCACGCTACTGATATCAAAAGTGGAACTATAACTTCAATCAATTTGCTATAACATAGCAAATTAAAGTAAAAAATATCTTTTATTTAATGAATAATTTTTATTTCAATTAATTTCAATTTAATTTTATTATATATTTCACTAAATAAAAGACATTAAAAATAAGCAATTCATGGGTTTTTATTTATTTTGGTAGAATATTTTTCTTGCTTTTTTTAAATGAAATGAGTCAAAATATAAAGTAAATTAGTATAATGTATTTCTCCAATATATATATTATCTTTATGTATCTAAAAATATTTTGTTACAAGCTTTGTCTGTCATTTGAATTATTTTTATGGTTAAATTTTCCAATAATGCACCTGCATGATTAAATAAACAAAGATCAATTGTAAAATAAGATTAATTTGTTAAAGAAGCTTATTTGTATATATCCACAATATAAATTTTTGTACTCATCATTAATATCTCAATTAAGTTTATTAATATTATAAAATAATCAATTAAATTTCTAATAGGTGACGCAATTGACGCAAAAAGCCAAAACGTGATAAAATAAAAGACTTACGCTATCCTAAACTGCACTAATCCGTTAAAGAGAGATAAAACCTCCTCTTTTCCTGCCTCCGCGAACACACACCACGCCAATATTTGCATACCCCTGCGATGATTAACCGCGTGGCAAGCGAGAAAAAGGTATGAATCACTTCTCGCCGCGTCCTTGGACAACAAAAATTTCTCTCTCCGCCGTTTCATTCACTGTAACAAAATAAAAAAGAAGCTTTCTGTTGGCAGCAGGAGAGGCTTTGATCGTGGCATAGGGGATTGTTGCGGTTAGCTGCGGCGGACCTTTCGGTTTCCTGGAAGCTGCGATCATTATTTTAATTCCAGCTCTTCGGGCAACACGCGCCGCACCTTGCAACCCCCTAGCTTGAGGCGAGATGCGCGCAACTCGACGGGCAGCCAATAAAATCTGCATACATTTGATTTGAGAGACGAGTGTGCGCTGCCGCGACTTTTCCGCGCTGGCGCCGCTCCGAGAGAGGAAAATTCGCCCCACCATCGCCCCGGAAAGTGCGTATAAAACGCGAGCTGTTTTTTCTGCACCAATACCCTTCGTCATGCCTCACCCGCGCTCTCAAAAAGTTTAAAATAATCTCATTGGGTAGCGCCATCGCTCTCTCGGCAAAACTCTCTTTTTTCTATATAAAAATAATATTACATAAGGTGGAGAGAGCAGCTTTCCCGCTTTGATCAGTTCAGGAAAAGCAAACAAATAACGCGATAAGGCTGCGAGTATATTGCGCGAGGGGCCAAACGATTTTATTTAATATAAAAAGTCTCTGCATTTTTGGCTACTCTAGAACCGCCGTTTACATTAGGGAAGTCGCGACGAGCTGCTCACTGCATGCTTTTCTGCCGCCCGGCCAGCGCATGTTATTTGCTCTATGGTCAAACGAGTATTGATTTTAATGACCAGATGAGATATGAGTGCGCAGTATTCCAAGCGCAGCGATTTCTTTTAATATCGGTCCATATTTTAACACCCCATGTTGTTTCATATGGATGAGGCACTTCTCACTGGTTTTAAATGATAATAATAATTTATTATAATGAAAATATTTTCTTCCTGAACAATTTTGGAATCAGACTTCAAATTACCAAACAATTAATTTGTTTTGGATAAGAATGTGCTGTAGTGGCACATTTTCGCTTCCCAACCAACCTGACCAGGGGCTCTCTAGTAGATTTAGTGGTGCACGCATGGGCCCCCCAACCCCCTTGAGACCTTGCCCTGGCCTTGCCTTTAGTTATTGGTTATTTTAAAAAATAAATAACTTTATTGCCAAAAATATTATAATACAAATTTATAAATTTAACGAAAAAATTGGTCTTTTTCATTCTTTTGTCTTCTGAATAGATTTAAAATTGATATCCATACTTAAATATTTTATCAGATCTCCTTTTCATTACATGTGGCTTCCTAAAGCGGCATTTTTCACACAATTGAAAGGTGTCTCCTGGCTATTATTACACCGCAGAAGGGTTACACAATACATTCAATTTTGGCACAAACGGCGAGAAATAAAGAATATTTCGTCAGTTGCCGCGCGTTCGTTATGCGATAAAATATCGTGTTAAATTGAGGCCAATTGCGCGGCCGACGGACATTCGCAAAAAACGGAAGCAGCTGTCAAAACGCGAGAGTTAATATAATCATTTAAAACGCACTGTGCGAAAATTACGTATCTGCCGAACAAAAATTTAATATACATTTTAGCAGGCGTAATTTTAGGTGTAACTTTTCAACGTTGTACATTCAAAGTAACACGAGAGAGACGTGCATATCACAATGGCATGTCGATTTTTTGCATTTATCATTTCCTCGCATCTGCATCGAGCGAGGCGTCTGCTGTTGCTTTTTAGGATAATTACCCATAGTTTCCCTTATGCAGTAATGTGGAATATGACCGTGCAAAAATGCTGCAGTAAAATATCCCGACAGTGTTAAAACATACTTTTTTTCATACGGTGTCGGAGAGTATATATTTGGTTTTGCCTCTAATGTGAATATAAAAATGATCCGGCAGCAGAGAGAGAGCTCTGTGGGAACCCAAGGTTATGCTAAAAGGTTGTACGAAAAGGGAAAAGTGTTCTCATAATACTTTTAAGAAAAATTCAACAGACTATAAAAAAAAACCTATCAGGTATATGCACTGGGTGTTCTCTGAGAAAAAATAGGCCGGTTTTACCCCATTTTTATCCATCTTTCCCTTTTTACCTAGAGTTTTTTTTCACTCTACTCAACAATGCACACATCGATGCATGTGAAAAGTCTGAGAAAAAAGCGGGGAAAGATCCGCTCGAATTTCATTTTCGGCTGCTGCATGACAATCAAATGTTTTTCAGCAAAAAGAGTCTTTCAGAAAGGGAGGGTTGCGTACATTTGTGCTGCAGTGCACCTGATGATGAAATAGCACTTACTAGGTCATCTCGCGTCCCTCCATGGAGCTTTTTATACGGAATAAAACGAGGGGGTGGCGAAAAAATATAACAGAGTGTGTGGAGGATACACGGGTGAAAATCACACACAATGCAAAAGACGCCGTGCAGAGATTTTCTCATTTCCAGGTGAAATAGAAATTTATACAAAAGAGATGAAAATCTTTGTGAGCCGCAAGAGAAACTCTAACATTATTGTATAATGTGGCCTTTTATGTCAAATTTATAGTGCGTAATCACTCCTTATGCCGCATAAATGCTGCAAAATTGGAGCTATATAAACAATTTTAATTAAAATGCAAATGTTTTTTACAAAATTTATATTAACACATTTAACTTTCCTTTT